GCCAATGTTTATTCTGAGCATTTATATGAAACCTCGTAAACGCGGGAGTATTAGGACGGTCGCGAAACATTATGGAGAAAATATGCGCCTCGTCGCGAGCTAATATTTGAGAGTCACAAATTTCCTCCTCCTCCTGCGGCGGTAATTACACGGTTTTTTTAAGCTGCAGCTTGAATCATGTATCAACGCGTTCGCCGATATAAGCGAAAAAAAGAGGCGAAACGCGTTCGCATAAAACGCGTTGTCGAACGTTTTTAACGGCGAGTGAACTTGCCGAGAAGGGGAGGGAAGAATTCGAAAACAATTTATCTCTTCGTCGCGGAATATCCTATAGGGAATAAAATCCAGTCCAGAAGTGAATTTTGATAATTGCAGTTTTTAAAATTTATCGCGACACAACGCGATAAAAGTTTGTAATTCCGTGGAAATTATGGGAATTTTCTACCTTTTCTACTACGTTTAAAACGTGGAATGAATCAGGCTTTCATCCGGATTGGAAGAAAGTTTTGGAAAGCAGATGGACAGGAAAAGTTAAAAGCTTTTCGCGCAGATCGCCATCAATCGGGCACTTGTTGCGATTTACGAACCCTGGCGGTCGAACGGAGAATTAGACAGTGAATATATAAACTCGTAATATTCATGGGTGAATAAATGACTTTCTTTAACTAGATATGTACGCCTATCTATTTTATTAAATGTACAAGCGAGTAAATATACATTATATATATATATTATTATATTAGAAAGATATATAAATGTATATTCCAAGAAAAAATTTATTAGATATATATATATCAGTTTTCTTATCGTTATGAAATAACGCTTCTTTACCAGGGCTATATAAAGAAAAGTATGATTGGAATCGAAGGATTCAAAAAGTTCAGAGGTCAATGACAAAATGAAATTAAGGTGGCTCAATACTGAATTAGGGCGAAATTCGAGGATTTATCAAGGATTAACTCCTGCACGGTACAGCTGCAAGTCTCTGCCGAGCACCTCTCGTTTCCCAAGTCGAATCCCCACCACCATCGCCATTTCCAGCTCTAAGTCTTCGGAGCAGAGAGGAAGTTTATGTGGGTTAAGTAGAATCATGGTCCGTGCCACGCTCAAAGGATTTAGGAGTAAGGTGTAGTCGGTGCTACAGGATTTAAAAAAAAGAAAAAGAAAAAAAAGAAAAGAGGAGAAGAATGTTCCCGCTTGAAGAACCGTTCCGTTGCTTTCCGTTGCTTCAACTGCCTATTGTGGCAAGGTTAATAACGAGTAATGGTTCAAGCATCGTGTTTAAAAATTCTTTACATCTCTTTTTTTCTTGTTTTTTTTTTCACCGCTACTTTTAAATCCCCTTAGGAAAGAAATAGGGCGTCGATGAACGTTG